GAAATGGAGGGTACTAGAGATTTCTAGGTGGCTGAGGTAAAACTGTACAAGGCCAAAGAAATAATGAGATTATCTCCATGTCAGCTTTGAGCTTTAGATGCACTTTGTATTGTGTTGCGCTTAACATTTTTGGTAGTTTAAATGTAACTGTTGATTGTCCTCTGTGATACTGAGAAGCACTGTATGCGTACTTTTGTGTGAAAAGTTCTCAACCTGTAAAGTTTTTTTTGGGGGGGGGATTAAATTTCATCAAGCTATCATAAGTTCCATACGCATTCAGTCTTTTAAAAACCCCCATACACGCAACAATACTTTTGTAATTGCCTGTCTACAGAAATTAATGTTTTATCACTATGGATTTTTAGCTTGAAAAAAGGTAATAACTTTTTCCTTTCAAGATTCAAAGACCTTCCTGTAAAAGTGTTTTACCTTGTTAAATCGTAATTAGAAGTCTGTTTATGTGAAAATGTAGTAGACTTTGTTTAGGCCATCAACTGCCTAATGACTGCTTTCAGAAATGAATAATACTTCTGAAAACTTAAACACTGCTAACTAAACATTAGCCACCTCCTCCACAATAAATCAGAATAATTTAGAGTTCTATATAATTATCTTAGAAAGGGTTGGATATATTATAAAAATTATCATTATTATGTTTCAATTATTGATCTTACGTAAATTTTTTAAAAATGCAATTTATTAGTTTAAAGCAAAATAGTCAAATCTTAATGGAAAATTAATAAATGGATCAAAAAAGCATATTTTCAAAATCATAAGTACGAAGACATACAGAAAGCTGCATTCAAACAGATAAAAAGCTGCATATAAAGATTCAAATAGATAAAAAGTTGCATCCAAACAGGATTACTTATTGTGAAAAAAGACATAAGGACTACCTGTTTCAGAGAAGGAAACCTCCGTTTAATATTTTCTAATGATTGGGTAAGGTTATTTGAGTGCAAAGCACACAAGAGCTATCAGACTAAGGCAGGGGATGCCCACATGCCTAAAGGACTTTATGAGGAAAACAATGTTATTAATGCGTTAGTAAAAATATCATTGAAAAATTCCCAGAGTTCAAAATTAAAAACTTTCCACAGAAACTGATCTCAATATCACTGAAATGTTGATAAGTCCCCAAATCTGGAACTATTTAATAAAAGAATTCACATTCCCAAAAGTGAAAAGTTGTTTAACAGCTCTTCATTAGAAAAAATGAAATAATTTCTAAATGCTTGTTTCTCTTCTTGCTCAGAAACTTGAGTATCTCAACATTTATATTACAAATAGGAACTAATTATAATCCACAAACCTATTCATCAATTCATAAGACAGTTGCCAATGAATGACTAAAAATATTTCTCGAAAATGCTAATTCACATTCAAGATGGCAATCGTAAAAACAGACAGAAAATTCAGATGATTCAAATTAAGGACTTCTGCTGATTTTGGTCAAAATTAAGGACTTTTAAGGACCAGAAATAGATTTAAAAAAAAACTAAGGACTTATAAGGAGTCTTAAAGACCGTACAACCCCTGTAAAAAGTACATTAAAAACATTTTGGATTTTTTAATTTATATTTTATTTGATAATTTGGCATTATTTTCTTACTATGACAGATTAAATGTGAATACCAGATTTGTTTTATAATTCATTTTAAGGTAATAATTTATTAAAATAGAAAACAAATTCTCACAACACAATGTGCTTGAAACTTGGGGGGGGGGGAATTTGCAATGAAGAATATGCATGAAGAATCCAAATGTAAGCCTATATTTGGAATTCAGTGCAGACATTATAAGGTAATGGTGTAATAGTCAGTACACTGATGCGTATTTGAGAGGCTCGAGTCCCAGAGAGGGCATTGCTTATTATTTCCCCATCTCCTGCTTCCAAAACAAAAAACTTGATGACGCTACAGTAGCACCCGAGCTAAAAGAGGTGGTGGATGATGATTCTCCCTCCACCTTGGGTCCCCTAATCCCCAGTCGCCCTTTAACAATTTGAAGTTCGGTGCATAAAAATTTTTGGGGGGTAAAAATAACATTACACATAGATAATTAGCTCCTAATACAATGTTATTTCATGGAAAAAAGAAAAAAAAAAGAAAAAGAAAAAAAAAAAAAAGAAAAAAAAAAAAAAAAAAAACAGGTAAACCTTTAAGGTATTTCATGACATGGTGGGATATTGCTTGTCCGAACACACATCTAGAGCAGTAAAGTGGCATCTTTGCCTGAATATAAATTCTCCTAATATGTTTATTTAAAGTGCTAGTTTTAACAACCAGGTGAAAATGCAAGATATAAAAAAACATTTTTGAATAATTATCTAGAAAATATTATTCATATTTGCAAAATAAAAAATACTTTTTTTTTTCAAAAAAATTGCATAATTTATAAAAAATCACTCTGTACAACTTTTTAGATATTTTTTAATGATTTCATAATATATTTGAAACGCAGAAGATTTTCACTGCAGTACTTTATTTGCTACAGATTTGAAAAGGAAGGTATTTAGAAGGCTGTCATGTTTACTTACATTTCACCTCTCTTTCCTTTGCGTAGGATACTTTTCTATGGTGAATCACACTCACATATCCATTCAGTATTCAATGGCATTTTACATTATAGGGTTATATTTTCATTTCTTTAGGAAAAAGTACTAAATATTTTTCATGTTTTAACATAAATGCAATTTATTAAAAAATATAAATTTGTATTATCAATATATAAAATGAACATGATACCTGAATTTTAAAAAAATGAACAGTGTTCCCATCTAGTCGCAGCAATTCCTACATATGTGGTGGAACATATTTACCTCACCTTTTTATTTCAACCATTTTTAATTAATATATATGAATTCAAATAATAAAGGAAACTTTCAGATAAAAATATTCATTCTAACACAAAACGTTGTTCTTCAGACGATTTAAATTGCATAAGAAATTAAGGAAAAAAACTGCTTCAAAATTAGACCTGCAAAGAATTTTTATGTTATATTATTTCCATGAGTAAATCCTAGTGCTGCCATTTGTTATATATTCAGAAAACTAAAAGGCATAATTGTATGTATTTTAAATGGAATTTTGCAGGTTTCATCTGGGAGTTAAAAACTGATAAAATAGCTGAAAAGGGGGAGAATATACGGTATTTCTACCGCCTTCTTAGCATGCCTTCATAGTATAATGGTCACCATACATGGCGCATAATCGAGAGTTCCAACGTTTAGTCCTGGTGAGGGCATTGCTCATTTTTCACATCTCCCGCTTTCAAAAAATCCTAATGACTCTACAACATCAGCCATAATAATTTCAACAGAAGAGCAATAATGCATATCACTACAAATATTTTGAACCACAAAACTGAACAATAATAATGCTTTCCAGAAAACGAAGATTTTTTTAGGGGAAAAAATTCTCACAGTTTTGAAGTATTTTGAAAGACGGTGACCAAAATATATTTATGGTATTGAAATATATAGGATATGTGGCTGAAAAGATGCCTGGCATGACAGATAACTTAAAAGGTCAAACTATTAAAAATTAACTTAATTTTAAAAAAGATTATCAATCTAATTATTTTACTAATTGTAGTAATTAAAATTAGTATTTATTTGGCATGTTATTGTGTCTTCACTAATTTTTTTAACTCATTGAAATCAAGAATCAAAGAATGATAATTTTCTAAACCAAACTCAATAATGAAAATTAACTTACGGGTTTGATCCTGTTACAGAAAAGACTGCATTTTGCATGTTTAGCAAATGAAAATTATGCATGCATCAAATTAGGTATTTAAAAAACTTCCACAAAAATTCAAGCCATAGATTTGTTCTTCATAAGTATAACAAATATAATTTATTCTTTGATCTTCCCTATAAAATCTCTTTAAAACAGCTGGGGAAAAGCCAAAAATTTCTGAGGGGGGGGGATTTATTTCAATCCGTAGATTGGCACCCAAACCCATCATTGGCCTTCCATTTAAAAGTGAAATTGCAGTTCTTCCATCGAATAATGAAACAGCAGAGGGACAAAGAGTTTCAATCATGTACCACAAGATCATAAGGAAAAAGCAATAAAATTCCAGTATAATGTAAGAAAGGGTTTTAAACAAAATTGAATTGTAAACAACTATGTATTCAAAATAAAATAAAACACATGGAAACTTTACAGAATTTTTATTTGAAAAGTAAAGTTTTTCTTTTTTTCTCTCTTTGAAATGGCTTGCATTCACTTTACCCATATGGAAAACCAAGTAAGTTTAAATGCAGCCAGCCCATTCACCATGATTTACACCCACATCAAACCAGCTGCATTCATTGGTTTCACCATTTGGAACCAGTGTCCTTGCATTTTTGAAAACTTTTTAATTCTGATTCAGGTCCCTAACTGCCACTTCTATAAAATATATAACTGCTTTGATCACATTTTTTACTGCACTTCATCTATGCTATATATTATATCCATAACCAGCACATTCATTATCACATAAAGTATATATTACTTGCACTGTGTTAAAATGACTAAAATTTCAGATGTATTTCCACAATAAAATTATTCCATTTAGTTACGAAAATATGTGTCTCACTTTGATCATATTTAGTATTGGAAAACAAAATTACAAAAGCAGCAATTGGGTAAACCTTAAAAGTTTAATTTCATTTTAGACTTGCATTAAACATAAAGAAAATTTTCATTGGACTACTCAAGTACAAGTTTTAATGACAAGGAGACAAAATAAACAAACTAATATATTTCAAAAAATATTCTTATCTATTTGACGCTCAGCACAGCACCATGTACCTGATTGTTATGCTAAGGATTTTTTTTTAAACTTCTGAGCATTGATTCCCCCATCCTTACACTTTATGTAATGTTATTTTCTGTTATGTTATGCAAATATATTCCTCTCCCCCCCCACAATGTGTACATTGAATGTGTGTTTTATATGCATTTGCAAAGTATGACAAACAAGGTATTAGTAAAATTGTAACTCACCCTTGACAGCCATTCATGAATAGCTGGAGTTCCAGGCAAACCTTAAAATTTAGAAGAGAAAGAGATCACTTTTTGTACACTTCAAAAACACACACATACCATTCACTACTCATGGCAACAATGCAAACAATACTGTTAATTACTGGATAGATGATGCATGATCTCATCTTAATACCTTCCTTTAATAACGTCCAGTTGTTATCAAGCTGTTTGTCTGCCTGCTGAAAATACCTTCTTTCTGTCCACAAACTTGCATGGTTTTCTGTTATCACAGCAGTTCCTTAAAGTGAGTAAAACATCAAAATATTAAAAAGAAGTAAACAATGTTCATAAAGATTGCATGAGAACTAGATTAAAAATTTCTGGGAAGAAAAGCAAATTCAATAATAAATTGGGCCCGGCACCAGTCTCTTGGGACCGGCAGCAAACTCTCTGTGTGGCCGGCATCGGTCCCCAGGGACTGGCACTGGAATTTTTATTTGGCTGGCATCAGTCCACTGGACCGACAGTATTAAAGTTAAAAAATAAATATAGTCTCAATGAAATGTGATCAAATGTAGTTTTAATGAAATTTATTGAAACATTCTAAACAAAACTATGTCTTAGCTTTACACATATTACAATACATAACAACTTTTTTGGTAACATTTTTGGCTATCTTGCGTCCAAATAGTTTTAAATTGTCATCATAACATTTCAAACAATACCTTCGGACTTTATGTGCGTCTCCTTCCTTTTTGTATAATTTATGAATAATTTAAAACATTGCACCGCTTGATCGCTTGCTGCCGGCTGAACAAAAAGAACAGCAAGTTTGGCACCGGGCTCAACGTGTTAACAAATTTTTCTACCTATAAAAAAACTAAATCCATATTTCATTTTTGTTAACTTCCAAGTTTAATCCCAAGATGAATTACTAAAAATCACAGTAAAGTTGATACTTAAGGACTATTTTCAAAGAAGCCCTCTGCAAAAAAGTTAAGAGTAAAATTAAACAAGCACGACCAGCAGTTACTTGAACCACCAAAATAGTCAAAACAACAGCAATGAGAAGTGTAAATAGGTAACCTTTCAACAATTTGTAAGGCACCTGGTATGCAAGCTATAAATAAATTTCTGGAAATCTTCCTGAACGTATATTGCACTTTATGAAAATAATTAAATACACAAATCTAATCTAAGTGGCCAGCCATACAGGATAACATACATAACCATTTTAATAAAAAGAGGCACCTACAAGTCATAACTAAGGTGCTAACTCAAGAGTATTACGATGCTTTTTATGATAAGTGAAGTCTTTGTAGTAAATTTATTCACATTCTTAACAAATTATCAATCTATTTAAGATGATAAATAACATCAATTACATATTGTATAAAATCTTCTTATTCCTATATTGTAACATTTAGAGAGGCTAAATGTAAATTTAATAAGGATATTTGAGAATTTCCAATAAGTATTCATAATTTAAAATTCAGTTTTAACCCTTTAACTGCTTAAAACGTGTATAAACGTTTTCAGAGTTTCCTTTAAAAATGCTTTAGACGTGTTTACATGAATTTCGAATCGCTCAAAAAATGTTTAAGACATGTATACACAAAGCCCAAATTTCTCCAAAATTGCTTAAGACGTGTTTAGACGATTCGATCTGGTCTTCTTTTCCTTACCTTTCTGCAGGCGGCTGTCAGTTGACACAAAGCTCTTAATAGGGTGTGAAGTCTGTTTGAAAAGCACACTTTATGGAAGAGTTCTGAGAGGGAAGTATCCCTGTCAGATAGCAGGTGTGTGTTATTTTTCTGACGACTGCAAGCTTGTAAATGAAGATAAATAAATTGTTTTACAACAGTTTCCCTTGTGGTTATTTATACAAATGAAAGTCAAACAGAATCGGTCCTTGTTACAGTACATTACCCAAATTTAGAAGAAACAGGGAAAAATAATAATTGTAACATAAGACGTACTTTTTAATAAATCATATATTATACAATTAAATATTTTATTTTTGTATTAAAAGCTGATTAAAATTTCTGATTCGTCAAGAAAAGGAAAAAAATATATAATGCTGTCAAACTTCTATCTTGTTTGCCCTCGTATTTCAAGTGCCGGTGTTTTTAATGGTATATTCTTTTTTTTTACACTTGCTGTGCTTTCAGCATGCCTGATTTTTGTACTCGTATACGTGGCTGTGTGTTCCTTATAAATGTGAACTGACATATAAAAATTTCTTGAATGTCAAAAGTAAGATATTCTACTCAAACTTCAATTAAATCGAATAAATTCATATGCTGAAGGAATTTCTAGAAATATTTGTTTTTAAAAATTTTATTATTAAGATTTGAAATACAAATTAGTTTTTAAATCTTGGGGGGGGGAGATATGCATTTCTTGGAACATTTTTGGAAAGAAATCTACCGGTATGAAATCGCTTAAAACTAATGGAGTGTAAGTTAATGTATGGAAGGTATATAATGCGCACAAAAATTAGTCAGAGGAACAATTAGCTAACGAATTAAATTAATTACATTAAAAGAATTTCGTTAGAAAATAACCTCTCCAAATGCCAATGCTAGCAGCACTACGAATGAAAGTTATTAAATTCCTAACTTAATTAATCCGTTGGTTCTCAATAATTGTGGCCTACCAGCGGCCGATCAGTAAACGTCGCTGAACACTGGTAATTCGGTCTGAGGTTCGAATCCTCGAACAGGCTGGCTGCAAGGGCGTTTTCGTGATTTTCCCCACGTGTAACGTGTATACGAGCCAGTATCCCTTAGAAAGTCCTCCACAAAAGCATCCCTCCTTTTAAGCAGATAGCCCTCGAGGCTTTGCCGTAATCACATAAAACCAAACCAAATTAAAAACCAATAACTATGTGTTCGCGATTACTTTGCAAAAATTTTTTTATAAAGATACAACAAAAGTCCGCAGCGACCTAGTAGAAACTGGCACTTTGAAGCGAGTTTAAATCCCGGCGAATGGGCTGGCTACATGGCAGTTTGCGTGGATTTTTGCTGCCTATATTTAACGTGAACATAAGCCAATCTCATTTAAAAAGTCCTTCACGAAGACGTGCTCTGAATACGAGTCCTCGCTTGGGAATACGTTTGGATTGTTATGATTAAGCTCGCAAAGGGCGATCTGTTTAAAGAGGGTATGCTTTCGTGAAAGACCTTTCTAAGGGAAACTATCTCGTACCGGTGTTACATATAGGTAAATTCACGAAAACGCAGATGTGTTGAGCCAGTTCACAGGGGTCTGAATCGAGGTCAAACTACCAAACAGTCCTCGTGTATTTTGTCATGAGCTAAATAAAATACAATATCGCGAAGTCACTTTATTGAAATGGCAATAACTTTGTATTATACAGGCTATCATTTTGCGTCTGTTATGAGATTTTGATCTTTTCCGTTATCCAAGCTAGCCCACAATGGAATACTGGTAGTTCTATCCGGGGTTCGAAGCCCGGCGAAAGAGATGAAACTACATGGATGCTTTTGTGTCTTTCTCATGTGTAACGTGTACACAAGCCGGTTCCCCTTAGAAAGTCCTCCACGAAAAGGCATCCTTCCCCTTATGTAAATAATCCTCGAGTGATTTGCCATAATCAAATAAACAAAACGATTACAGCATAGCATGTTTAAAATATTTTGTGTTTAAAAATTTATGCGTCAAAGTTGGGCCCCGTTACATGAAATATGCTGTTCCTTTTATAACAATGTTCTTGTTTTCAGAATACGAAATGTCAATGAAACATTTTTAATAATGTCTCATTCTGTTTCGTTTTTTGTTTAATGAAAAAATGAATTTAAGTAACAAATTTCTTATGTTTAGAAAAATTTTTACCATCATCGAAATGAGTTGCTGTCGAAGTGCATTTTCTTACTAGCGCATATATTTGTATAGAGAAAATTGTTTCGCGCGTGTTATCCTATAACTGAAAAGATCAAGAGAAATTTCTATAGGGAAATAAAGTTATTAAATTTAAATAAAAAATAAAGTTATTTGTAAATTAAATGTGTTTTGAGGTAAGAGTAAAAATACGAGATATGAGATGAATTAAAAATAAGGATGTATATAATAAGGATTTTGCCGACAGACATTCCCAGCGAAATTTGCTACAATTTTTCTATATATAGAATTAATGTATATTCCCTTTAGTATTTGAATTCAGTGATATAACACTCCACTTTATCAGTGTAATTATGTGTTATATCGAGATTTAGTTATGTCCGATATAAGCATTTTATTTTTGTTTTATAAATCTGGTTCGTTTACTAATATTATGTTTATTAAATACGATTTATCAGGTTTTCAAATTCTATTAGACCCCAAAAAATGGCCCACTTAGCTAAGACCGCTGATTACTACTAGTTCCACTTGCACTGAAACCCAAACGAACAAGTTGTCTGCAAGGTTGGGTTTCATAGTTTTCCCATGTGTCACATGGATATGAGTGAGTTTGACTTAGAAGCCCACCATGGCGACTTGCTATCCTTAGACAGACAGATCCCGTTTGCTTTGCCATATTCAAATAATCGGACAAAATTTGACAACAAAGGCTAATAAATGCATATACCGAAAAAAATAAATACACATTGCAAAACTAAAATAAATGCATATAACGTAAAAAGTGAGATCAAAACAAATTTTTATTTATTTTTAATACACTAATTCCTAAATTGCATTATTTTCAAATTTATTTCATTTTTATGTATATTTTTTATGTTTCGAAAGTGCGATTGTTTAGTAAATTCATATACATTAAATAAATCTGATTTGAAAATACATGCACTTAGGTGAGATTTTCGTAACTTGAAAAACATTACTCGTAAAATAATCTCTGAGGAAATATATATATAAGAAAATAATATTTTATCTTCCTACTTGATTCTGTGAAAAAACAATTTAAATTAGCTTATTTTTTTTTTTTCTATATTGAAAACACTTAATTTTTTTTTTTTTTTTTTTAAATCTTGCTGTCAGACCGAAAGTATTTAGAAGTATAAAACTGGTCTTTTTGAACACATGTTTCTGTGGTATTTCTTTGTGGATATAGATCAACAGATAAGAGCCCAACCCTTGATGTAGGCATTGACAGATTTCACCACCAAAAAGGCCTTTTCTCTAACATAGCAGACGCCACTTTATCTTCTGCTTTGTAATGTAGTATAACTAAAACCCGTTGGCCCTTGTTTGCTCGAATAGCTTCTGAGAACCGTTCGCATTTGAATGCGTCGGAGCTTGAGTGACTGAAAGACTACTTGTTCCCAAAGCAATCAGTCAGACAAAATTTGTTAATATTTCTACTCTCTCTGCGAGTTCTTCAAATCCAGGAAAGGATAATGCATGCATTTAGGTGCATTTGAGAAAAAAAAATTTCTATGCTGCATTTTGTATTACTTGTATAGTGAAACATTTCAAAAAACAGCTTTATATGCAAAGTTTTTCTCTGATGAATGAACTCAGCTGAAAACACGTTTCTATCTTCTGTAAATCCCCCCCCCCCAAAAAAAAGATGCTCTTTTAAGTGAATTAAATTTTTATTGTGCTCTTATTACATTTTTCTAAATTTTTCTGTTCCCCTTTTCTTATAACACATAAGCAATTTTTTAAATATGAGTGACCCCTGAGCGCTAAGATCGGTAAGCTCGCTAAATTTGAAGGAATTCAAATCTCGGCAAATGGGTTTATTGCAGGGGAGGTTTCTTGGTTTTCCCTCATGTGAACGAATACGAATTCTTTCCCTTTAAACATCCTTTACGAGACGCAACTCCTTTTAGGCATATAATCTTCAAGTGCTGTGAACAATTCTAATCTAAATTTTTATGATATAAAATTTCATATAAATTTATTCTACTGCCACTTTTGTGTACATTATATTTATGACGATTCTACTGCCGCTTTTGTGTGCATTGTATTTATGATTATTTCTACGATTAAAATTGAATACTATTGATTTAATTGGTGTTATGTTTAATACTGAAAATAATGTTTAAGCTAAAAACCAATTTGAACCCTTTTTAATAATAAGGTAACATGCGCTAAACGGTTTTGAATAGAAAGAAACAAACAAGGATGCTAATTCCATACATCGAACAGAAAATTTATTATCGTCAATCCATTTCATCTAGGATAAAAGGTTTCTAAGCTTACGATTTTTGATTATGGTAAAGCAGACAGGGGTTACTTGCCTAAAAGAAGAGACTTTTTGAGGGAAAGAGGCTGGTAATTCGCTATACAACCCGTGCAGCTGCTAGAATTTACCATGCTCAACTATCTTACCGCTCGTGCTCTATTGGGCTTTCAGCTTATGAAATATGTATTTTAAGTTGGTTACTTACATAATAGAAGAATAAAATAAAATGACAGATTATAAATAGTGCATTTTACTGACAAAAAGAAAAAAAGTACTGCAAAGAATAAGAGCGATATAGTCAATGGCGGCCGATAAGCAGTGCTGCTGCATATGTTTTTGCAGAGAAAATCATTTTGCTCGTGTTGTCATATAACGAAATATATTCAGAGTTTATTTTTTACAGTTGTTAAAATAGTCCTGGACTATCTGTTTTAAGAGAATACCTTCTTGAAAAATTTTCAAAATGAAATTGGATTGGATTAACATGGGGAAAAGTATAAAGACACCAAGCCGCTAACTTGTTTGGTTGATAGTGACAAATCCAGAACAAACATCAACATCCAGTATTCTTTTTCACTATAGTAAACTAAAATATTTGTAAATTATTATTAGTATTAAAATAAAAAATATTTATTCTAATAAAACTGTTGTTTTATAATACACCCTTGTAGGCATTTTCTTTGGTTAGGGATTTTATGTGAATAATTAATTCTGTGTTGAAAAGCAAGACAATTTCTTAGGTAACTTAATGCTTCAAACAATTGAATGCTGGGATTCCTAGGGAAAAAATATCCTAAAAAAATATATTCCACAAAAAAAAAAAAATATTGAATTATATTTCTTATAATGAACTTATTAAATAATTAATAATTATTAAATATAAATGCTTACTTTTTTTACAAAATGTACAATAATACCCTTTATTTACAAAAGTACATACTGAACAACTATATTATAAGCTAATAAAATAACAACATTGCATTGTTTCTTATTAAACTATGTGTCATCTTTCCTTTTCAGCTTTCTGTTATAGGATAATGTTTTTAATCTATTTCAGACAAGTGTACTGGTGTTTCAAGGACGGGAAGGCAAGAATTTTAAGATTCAGTCAATAAATTTATGATCAACTGAAAATCCATAAAGAAAACCTATTTCAGGTTAAAATTCCCTTTCAGAATATCTTGAATGTATATAAAAAAGTGAAATGCAAATTTGACACATATTATCACCATTTCAGCCCTTAAATATCTCCTAAATGTTTTGTTTATTGCTCTTAAAAACAGATCAGGTGTTTAAAAGTTAATACCATAATGTTTTTATTAAAAAAATCTTGAAATTATTGCTAAGCTAAAAAAAAAAGAAACAAAAGAAACATATTCCTTTTGATTATTATTTATTTATACCTAGGGCAAATTTAATTTCTTTGAGATTGAGAAGATATTTAAAACAATGTTTATTGCTATATCCTGAAATCACCTAATTTTTTGTTTTCATAAATCAGATGAAAAAAAGTCACATTTGAAACCCATCTCTTTTTCAAATCAGCTAGCTATCCAGGTATAATCATGAAAAAAATCTTGTTCGCTCTTGAAATTAAGATATTCAGTTACCAAATCTTATCTTGCTGAATAATTAACTTTACTTAAAAGAACATATTTGGTATATATTAAGTATATATCGTTCATTCAAAAAACAAAATCTTTTCAGAAAAAAACATCCGTTTTAAAAACTAAGTAAATTTCAGCATTAAATATGCCTTAAAAGTTAAAATTTTGAAATTTCCTTCATATTTAACAGAGTTTCTCTAAAAAGCAAGTTTAAAAGTCACATCAAGTTAAGTTGATTCAATTTGGAAGAAATAATAAAACAAATATTTTTCATAGTAATTATTCAAATATTATGCTAAATATCTTAAACTATAGGTAATACTTAAGTAAAAAGAAATTATGTAAAATAATTATTATCTGCATGTAAATGCATTTCTAATTTATGACAAAAACATGGAAAATTAGAAATAATATCAAATGTAATGGAACTATAAAGATTGCTTTTCAAAGGTTTCAGCAATCTCACAGAAGGAATGCATATTGCACCAGATAGTTTTAATATGAATTTTATTAATAGCAGTTTAACCAATCTGCATTGAAATTCAGATGATAATCAATGACCCAGAGATTTAGGTAACTTAGATTAAACATGAATAATAATAATAATAAAAGAAGAGCAGGTAAATTTTAAAATCAAGTTGTTTCAAAATAAGAGACTTTTAGGAAAGAGAACTTTTAAGATAGTATTCACCCTGCGGCATTCAGACGGTCATCATGGAGAAGCTATTATAGTCATTTGCAACTTTCTTGACAACTCAAATCTACAGGTACTAATATTTACGGTAGTAATCCATCTTACTTGCAGCTGGAACATTTGATCTAGTATTCAGGGAGGGGAAAGAAATAACAATAGCAGTAGCTGGCATTTTTCAGAGGTTTAGGGTTATTTTCCCGACATTTTAAGGGAAGCTCGGTCCAAAATTGGTGACAGTTTTAAAGGTATTTGTAGAATCGACAGGCTAAGTGTTAATAGATATAGTTTATGCCTGATTCAGAAAGGTTTGCATAACTGCAGTAGTTCACAGTTATTTAAACCCCTTTCAAGAATGAAATTCTCCCTTAAATTATTTATTTTTTAATAATTCAGAGATAACACTGTAAGGATAAAATTTCAGCACAAGCATATACATAAACTACACAAATATTAAGCATCACAAATATTTAAGAAACATTTGCTATAAGCTTCATTACTAGACATAATGCTTTCATTACCAAATTAAACTCAACAAGTGACCAAAACAGATACACTTTATGAAACGCAGTTTCGTATATTTGAAACAATAGAGATGGACTGTGAAAAGTTAGTGATGTAAAAAAGCAAAGAAAAAGATGATATTGGTTGAAAGAAATGAATTTTCTGATAAGTTTTAACAGTATAAGGTATTTCTCCCGCCTTCTTGGTGTAGTGGTTCTGCACACTGGGCCGGTATTCCAGAGGTCCGTGGTTCGATTCCTGGCAACTTCGATTCCTTTGATTGACACAAAATTCGGCAGGAAAGTTTGCTAATTTTTCATCTCTCTTGCTTCCAAAAATACCTAATGTTTCTACAACTGTTTTATAGCTATGTCACAGGTTATTCATTACAATACATCACTTGTAAGAAAAATAAAAGTGCAGCATCACTCTTTAATTAGTTTATTGTATCAGATATATACTGTAAAGCATAAATAACAGTAAAGTTTGATTGAAAGTTAATATAAGAGCAAAAGAAATTAAGTAAAAATTACATTCTATGAATGATCTCATGCTACCTTACTTAAATTAATGACTTGGATTGCAATATTTTGGATAAACATCTAGTGCTAAACCTGATGTAACCAAAATAAAATTTCTTATTAACACTGATTGTTGTGAAACTAACTGCATAGTTAAAAAGATAAAACAAAATCTCCATAAAGGCTAATTTGACAGAGAAAATTTCATTCATCATCAATGGTAAAAAATTCATTGCCAATAAAATCCATCAAAATTTCACTGTACATCAGTTTTCAAAGGCTAAGACAAATGTCCTGAAGAGAAAAAATTCACAGTAAAAATCAAATCTGATATCATGCACACACAAATAATACATAAAAAAAATACAAAACTGCAAATTAATGAGGACAACCAATTACAATAAATAGACAACATCGGTTACTTTAAAACCATCGAGATCATGAACACCAGAATATCAGAAAATAAACTGATGAAAAGAGTGACAAGACTAAGAAGTAGCCCACTAAAATGAAAATCTCAATACAAAAACCATTATAAAAGCAAAGAATTCTGATTAATGCATTTTTCTTGAAATATCTGGATCACAATTAATGAAAAAAAAAAAAAAAAAAAAAAAAAACACAACAAGTTTTAGTTTAAATTTTGACAAAGTTTTGACTTTACTTCAGCTGCGAAGATTTAAATATAAAGCAGTATAAAACATTATACCTGTTGTACCAGTAAATCCTGAGATAAAAGCTCGACGTCTGTCACATGGTGCAAGGTATTCACTCTAAAGAAAAGATAAAACATTTCAGAGATGGCATAATATTGCACCTAATTTAAAATTTGACTAAATGAATGAAAGTACTTCTTTAAACATGTTTCATGTGTTCAATAAAATAAAATTAGCTACAACAAAATACACTCACTTCCAAAAGTTAAGCACGAAGATGTAAAATGCAAAAAAATCAACAAATACTGCTTTGATTGACACAAAATTCGGCAGGAAAGTAGCATATATATTTATGCATAAAACAAAATTAATAATTATATACAGAAATAAAACCAATATTAATTTTTTTAAGTTATCAGATAATGACATACTGGAGACTTAAACAGACTTATCTAGTGCTAAATCTGTATAACCTAAATTATGTATAAAGTGAAAATAAACAGCATAAAATGAAAAAAAAAGGACATTAATAGGGTATGTGATCCTCCCTCATCTGTATACAAAGTTTACACCTTGTGACCATGCTTTCAATTAGGTGGTCAACCACAGCAGAATTAAGCAATAGCCATTCTTCTTGTAGAGCAGTTTCAACACCTTCTTAAATACAAGCCTCCCTACTGAAGGCTCGTAGTTTAGTGACGTCACAAAATGTTGGCCTTCTCAGTGGGGTGCGAAAGATCGCCCCTAAACCAAGGCCATCTAGATGGCATTAGCAAGTTAGGGGAATTTCGTCCTTGGTCGTGAGAAGGCGTGTTAGTGAACCAAGTCTTAATTTAATACTGATATTTTTTTCGATTTCCATTCTGCCTTTAAAGTGCTGTGTGCCGTTATGCCGAGGAAATTATACTGACGGTCCTAAGGTGTCTGTATATAGATTTCCTAAGCAACAAGATACTCTACATAGATGGTTAAAATCGATACCACGAGAAAATTTTAGCATTTCCAAGTATTCTCGGGTAAGTTAAGCCTAACTTTAAAAATTTATTAGGTAATTGCTTCTGTATTTAAAAGAATGGATACGTTAATATTAAGGAATTCATTTCTATAGTATACATTATGTATAATATTGTACAATGTATCATAAGGATAATTAGTATGAATGTTAAGGTTAATTATGTATCGATGTATGGTAATAATTTGGTATCGATTGTATGCTAATATTCACTTACTTAAAATCTCCAATTTTTACTTTTGTAAAAGTTATAACTTGTAACTTACTTCATACGTCAGAAAATGTGCATGTAGCCACAAAACATTTCCTTAAGAATACTGTAAAAAATTAATGACTCATTGTCCAAACAAGGTGGAAAGAAAAGAAAAATTCAAACTTTTAATGATGAAAAAAAGGTTACTTTAAATTTATTTTGAGAAACTTCATTTTGTTCATGGCAAAAAGTTTAATGCACAGATACAGAGCCGTCAGAGCACAAACTTTACCGAAAATTTTTTATTTTTAATGTAATTTGTAAGAAAAAATCTACAATTTGAATGTAATAGGAATTTTGAGAATATTATTAAAATACTTGGTAAATTGACAGCAGAGGAAAATTTATTTAAAAATTGTGAATTTCAATACGGGAAGGAGGGAGGGATGGAGTGTTAATGCAAGGGCCATCTGGTATCCTATTTAGTCATAGCACTTTTCCTGACATAATTAGGCTCTACCACATACACTCTTGTAACGAGGATTGGAAACCTCGGCTAACACCTTGCTATTTAAGAATAAAAATAAGAAAGAATTGTAATTCAACTTGTGTATATGGAATTAGTTTCTTTAATGGAAGCTTTTGTGCTTATAAATCTACCCTGCTAAAATTTAAAAGCTTCTAATATCCTTAAAAATATTTCCATACATCCTTCCTATATATTTTTTATGCAGTTAAGTGACTTGAATATTATTAGTATAGAGGGAGATTCTAACATTTCCTTACTGTTACTTATCAAAAGTCAACCAGTACTTTAAAGCATTATTTTAACTGTAAACATACAATATAAGACCATAAAAAAATTAATAGAATATAATATACTTTGCGCATATGAAGAGGTTTTCAATATTATATCCGCGAATGAATTGAAAATACATATTTTCATATCTCTCTCTCTCTCTCTCTCTATATATATATATATATATATTTACATATAGATAAAGTAAAAAAAAAAGAAAAATAATATGTACCTACATCACTAGAAAACACCATCTTGTTAGTAAAGCTTTATTAACATATATATTTTAAAGGTAAGTAGTAGGTAACCAATGGCGATTGTCAGCCGCCAGTTTGTGACGTCACGATCTCGTAGTTGGGCTTCTGTTTAAGAAGGTGTTGGCAGTTTCCAGCTCAATAAGAGTGGCTGGAGGTGGGAAACATGAAGGTACAGCACGGCTGACAGCATCCCAAACATTTTCAATGGGTCGAATATGCTGGTCGGACGAATATGCTGGCCACGCCATATGCACAATCCCTTCACTCTCCAGGTAGTCATCGACGATGTCAGCTCTATGGGGCGTGCGTTATCATCTATTAAAACAAAAGTAGGGCCAACTCTGCAGAGTACAATTCACATGGGTTCTAGGACTCATCTCTATCCGACAGCCGTGAAGACCCGTTTAAAGATGCGAAGGTCAGTGCAGTATCCTAATGAAATTCCCGCCCACATCATAATGCTTCCGCCTCGGAATGTGCGATTTTCGGTGATGTTTTGGGACTTATTTGCGTGTTCGTTGTTCACACCATATCCTTTTACACTTATCATTTGGCTCCAGAGCAAATCTTGACTCATCAGTAAGCATGAGATTGCCCCAATCAGACACATTCCAACTGATATGTTCCCGGCACCACTGTAATCGTGCCCCTCTTGACTGGACAAATAAATAGAAACACAAACTCAAGGTACCCGGGCATACAGTCCTTTTCATATGTAATCTTCGGCGTACAGTAGCTGCCATTATCGCCTTACCAATGGACGCTGTAACCATTGACATCACACGTATGGAGGTGGCTCTGTGATTTCGCTTGGCTACAATAGCAATATATCGATCTTCCGCGGGTGTTGTAACCCTTGGGTGTGTGGCTGCGGGGCTTTGGACTCTGTAATTTCGTTTCAAAACTGAAATTACAGAATTATGACGGCGAAAAAACGAGCAACATCGCGTCGACGTCCTGCTTATGCGCCAACAGTCGCCAGGCTCTGAATCTTCCATTCGTTTTTGAAGTCTAGAAACACGTATGTCTGATACAAATTTACGAAATTTAAACACCTTCTAACAGCACAATCATTTTCTGTTCCCTTAATTAAAGTGGCTTCTTACAAGACTCCTTTTTTGCATATTTCTGCATGAAAGCGCGGATTGGCTGTACCTAACTATTGCATACTTCCATTTACCTCTGCAGCGAATTGCATCCTCTTCAATTCTGATTGGCTTCGGGAAATTAGCATTTTCCTCTCTATGCTTAACTTTTGGAAGTGAGTGTAAATTTAAAATTTGTTTCTAAAAGACCAAGTCTACACTTTCTACACTGGAGTATTTGTCCTACTTCTAAACAGCAGACAGCTACCTCAAAGACTAACAAATGGTTCTATGCTGCCATAAAAAACTGTTTTGATTAGCTAAACACTGAAATCAAAATCTGAACTCCAGAAGTTCATAGGTAAATGTACTTTATGAAAGCACTTGCATTAACTCTGGAGGATGCCATGACATATTTACATTTCAGATCCAGTTTGATAACAGGTTTAACTAATTTTGTCTTTTATTTATGCAATAAAAATAAATCAGCTTGATTAGTTACTTCATTACATATTTTATGTACATAAAAAATCATTTCAGACACCAGTGTACAATAAAATTATTTCATTACTAATGGCAATTTATGACTGAAGCCTGGATTTTCATAAATCTCTCAATTTGTTAAACAATATTTATAGCTTCTTCTTTAGAGGTAACCTAATACACTTTCTCGCTAAAGAAAATAACAGCATATATACTTGTAGGCTTAAATGATAACAAATCATATATTTACAAAGAAATTTAATGAAATATTCTAAAAATAAATATTTCACAGAAATAAAATTAGTGTTAAAATGTTCAGGATCAAAATCTTTTTCTTTAAATAAAAGCTAAAATTGTATTATACAGTGGAACATCAGATCATGAACACCTTACTTCTTGAACAAATTATCTCAACAGAAAAGACCTCGGAAGATAAATATATCTCGAGTTATAAAATGGTGAAGTCAGCAACATGATTTTTTGAAAGTGTAAACATCATTTTAATATTTTTCAGTGTTTTTACAATTCTTATTTACAAAGCCTGGCAACAACTCACTTACAGGATCATAAATTCAGCTTCAAGAAAATTGCAGCCATATTAAGTTGCTGGCAGAGACACTGAGTAGTTTGATACATCAGATGTTTTTTATTATCTACAATACTGATTCTGCCAGGAAATCTAATAGCTAGAAAGTTAACAATGAAGATGTGGACAAGTTATTAGAGGGCATTAGAAAATGAGCTCAGAAAGAACAACTTCGAAAACAGCAACAAAAGGCAAGTGTGGATAAGAAAAAAAATTGTCCTAGTTCCCTGAAATTTGTGCAAAGTGGGATAAAAATTTTCACGTAATACTAGCCTGAAAACGCAGTAGCAAGCTACAGCATAGCCATTTTTAGTGACAATGCCATGTCACAATTTAGATATATTTTAAAACATTGGTAATAAAAAATTACATGAGACACATTTTAAGTAGAATTATTACTATATTTTGTATAACTGATGTATATAGCTCACACTATCTGAAGCTGAACTGAGTGGCACTTAGAAACAAAAAAAAGCTAAGAGGTGATGTGCCATAAAAGGCAGTTAGTTACCTCATGATTTAAAAGATGGGAAATTTGCATGTAAACATTAATATCTCCTTCACCATTTTCTACTTATGCCATCTACTCTCCTTCATAAGATACAATAAAATTAAGTTTTCATTTATTTTATCCGTTTAATAATGTATTTGTCCTTTTTGTTTCATATTTAATAGTTTCTATTTAGGGTTATAAACACTTTT